TTGTGATTTCACAAAATTGAGTATAAACACGGTTATCCATATAAAAAAAAAATTAGCCAGATGGCCACCAACGACGTACAGACCATGATTAGAATGGTTGATTTCAACTGAGCAACGACACCCTTTTTTTTTCAATGCAAAACTGATTTGAAGAAACGGAACAAATCCTTACACATACATGCTTACCTATATATACACATATATATATACCGTCATCCACAGACAGACTGCTTCGCAGCTCATCAGTGTGGCTAGACATCCGGTAGCTTCCAGCTAGGGTCGAAACTCGACTGAACTGGTGTCAGTCGGAGATTCTAACCATTAAGCCATCGGCGCACGGTAGGGAGGAAAGTGGATTTTTAGCGTGTTTATCTTTATAAACACGCCCAACGACAGGGAGTGACTCAATTCGCATGAGCGGAGAGTCTCGCTATATATATATATATATTGTATATTTAGGCAGGAATTCCTCTTTTATACATGTTTCTTTAAAGACAACAGACAACGTATTGCTATTAAGCGTTTTATTAACATTTTTCGTGTATTTGAACAAGTGTTTTCTTTTCTGGACACACTCACACACACAATGTTATGGTGACCTGTCTACATTAGAAAGAAATCTTTCTCCTTCATAAATACTAACCTGCGAGACTTCCTAAGGAAGCAGTCGGGACGCAGAGTAACCTGATAGTTCGGACGGACACATATCTGCTGAGAAATAACATTCTTATTTTGTATATATGGTCTGTTATTTCAATACACGTGGTCAACCTACCTTCTTCCGGGTCTTTCTTTCTGGCCCCTACCACAACACACACACACACACACACACACATATATATATATATATATATATATATATATTTTAAGACATTTTTTTGTTTATACGTTCTTTTTATAGATACAAATATCAAGTAAAGGTCCTGTTTATAATAAAGAGTATTAACAACATTTACCGGCCTGAATGTTCGAGAAATTTTCACAGGAATCGAACCTGTATCCTATCCGGAATCGTCATATAGCCTGACGTGCATTAACCGATTGGGCCACAGAGGATCGCTGGGTTAGCAAGGTTGATTTTACTGTTTTCAAATTACAATCTTCAATGATTCTCTCACGTACATTCATATCTGCTCAAAGCGTATCCAAATGTAAACAAATGACGTCACAATTATTATGACGTCGACAATTATTTTAAAACATTTTTTATGTTTATATATATATATATATATATATATATATATATATATATATGAAATTTTCATAAAAAGCTAACAAGGTACTGCAGTTAAATTTTTACTTAATCTTTCTTGTGGTTTTATAATTTCCTTCGTTTTGGGATATAAATTATATAGAAATTGTCTGAATGTTTCGTATGTCCGATCGCTTTCGGCTATACTTTTAGCCATTATCAAGATGATTCTTATTTTCACTTTGAACTGAATGTATTTATTGATTTATGTGTCTAGAGTTATAGGAATATTTTATTTTCCATTTCAGGAATTCTTATAAATTCACTGTATGCATCGGTATGTGTGTGTGTATGTGTGTGTGTATGCGTGTGTGTGAATGTGTGTATACTTGAAGAAAAAAATAATAGGGAAATGGATGAAATCCGCCATATTTTTTAGTTTATTTGTTTAAACGTTATTTTTAATGGATACTTCGGTAAATACTCTGTTTTTTTTGTTTTTAAACAGTATATATATTTACTTACATCAACCGGCCTGAATATTTAAGGATTCTTGTTAGAAAAATATGGGCCCTATATATATACATATATATATATATATATATATATATATATGAATCTTATTATTCAGGCCGGTAGATGCAAATGAGTGTCTATTTAAAATAAATGAAAAATATGCCAGATTTTATCCATTACTTAATATATTGGTAAAGTAATGAATCTACCTCTTCCAACCAAAATAAAAACATATATATATATATATATATATATATATATATATATATATATATATATATATATATATATATATATATATATATATATATATATATATATATATATATATATATATATATAAAAGAAGAGATACCGCAAACGTTTTTGTTTGTAATGTGGATATTTTGTTTTGTTTTTTTTTTTAAATATTATGCTTTATTTTCGATAAAAAAAAATAAAGCATAATATTTTTTTTTTTAATTTCACATTACAACCAAAAACGTTTGCGGTATTTCTCTTCTTTTTAATATACACACTTTTCTCTCGTTGGAACCATTATAGACTCTTGCTTTTTATATATACATATATATATATATATATATATATATATATAAAATATATATCTATCTATCTATCTATCTATCTATATATATATATATATATATATATATATATATATATATATATATATATATATATATATATATATATATATAGTTATGGAAACTTACCCATTATAATAATGGACTATTCCTGATATTATAAATACTGCGCCTCTCAAGAGGTATGGGGATGTTGTAAGACGAAGAGAGATAATTGAGAGCATATTGTCAGGACATTCGAATCGTGATACTTGTCGAGACAACATAGTTCACTCTAACCAAATCTGATAGTCATTACTAATACTTCTAATTCTTTTGTATTATATTTCTGTTGTGATATATCTTTGTATTCCATACCTGTGTTCGTGTTATTCTTTCATTGGTTCTTGCTTAGAAAATTTTTTTTTCGCTAGAACAATTACGACTGAGTAGTGAGTTCGATCCTCACTGAGTGCCCCTTAAGTTCGGCCTTATGCCACATCTAAGCTACGCTTGGAGAGTCACTATATATATATATATATATATATATATTTATATTTATATTGTTATTACATAGAAGAGGACTCCACCCATGAACGGGCCGATAATCTACACTAGACAGACATGCTTTCAGAGGTGTCGTTGTCTCCCACATACACACATTCACACAAATATATACACATGCACACATCACACACGCTCCAAAAAATCTAGTACAAGAGTAACTTCTATTTGGCGTTTAGAAGTGAGTAGTATTTCGCGATTTTTAAACGTCAAATAAAAGCTACTGTTGTACTAACGGAAAGTATTGTTTCCTCCACTGCACTTCACACTGGACCTTATGACACAATTTCTCACACCTCTAGATAAGGAATTTGCAGCCTTCAAAGTTCTTTCAAGACTTCTTCCCTAAGCTCTCAGCGTCAAAAGTCCATGCCAGAAGAAGTCCATGAAGAAGTACATAGAATGTAATGAATTCGTCAAGAAGATCACTAGGACGGAGACAACTAGGAACAGTTTTTTGCAATCACCCGTAACCCTAGCAAGTGGCGCCTCTTCATCGACAGCTGACCTAGGAAACTAAAAGCCGTGTTGCTTCATAACTATCTCTTCCACTGAGACACTGGGTACAGCTCAAAGAGAAATACGGCAGTGTCAAGATCTTGCTAGATGCCTTGACATATGAAGAGTTCGATTAGGTGGTTATCGGAGATTTCAAAATGGTGGTCTCCCTAATGGGCTTCTAAGGCTGCTTTAGCAAGTTTCCGTTTTATCTTTGCCTGACAGCAGGGTCACCACGGCACACTACCACAAGTGTGACTGTCCACAGTGGATCGAGTTCACTGTGGCGTGGAACAACGTCAAGTAGAAGATACTGTTTGACTCACGGAAAGTATTGTTTCCTCTACTGCCCTCAAAAGTGGACCTTATGACACAATTTCTCACGGCTCTAGATAAAGAGTTTCCAGCCTTCATGTTCCTTCAAGACTTCTTCTCTAGCTTGTCTTTGGCAAAATTTTAAAGCCGGTGTCTTCGTTGGACCAGAAATTTAAAACAACATAGAATGTAAGGAATTCCTCAAGACGCTCACAAGAATAAAGAAAAAGTGTGGAACAGATTTGTCGTAATGGCTCTGGGTTTCCCGGGGAACCAACAGGCCGAAAACTGTGTGAAGTTTGTTGCGACCCTGGTGAAGTACTATGGTAAAATTAGCTGCAGGATGTCACTCAAAGCCCATATCATTGGCGCTCATCTTGAAGGAGAACATGGTGGCGTATTTCAGAGAAGGAAGGCGAGCGATTCCATCGGGATATACTGGACTTTGAACGCCTCTACCAAGGATCGTGTAATGAAAGCATGAGGGGAGACTATATTTGGAGGCTGATTCGTGAAAATAATTTACAGTATAAATGTAAACCGCTAAAAAATACTCACTTCTAAATTTTTTTGCGTTCCTTCTTTTGTAATCCTAGAATAAAATAAAAGCTACTTTTGAATCATAAGTTCCAGTCGAACAGCACCTCCCCGCAACCCCCCCCGCTCTGTGGAACCGACTCCCAAGTGGATGTTTCCCCGATCACTACAATCTTAACCTGTTCAAGACTATTCTTAACTGTTATCTTCCCCTCCTCTCCGCACGATATAACCCTCTACTTTGAGTGGCCCTTGAGCCTTGTACAGGGTGAACCTTACTGTTAAAAAATGTCGTTTTGTTTCTATTTTGCGTGAGCGAAAATGTTTGAAGGAAATATTAGCCATTTTTCATACATTCTTGGCGCAAACAAATATGAAATAACAGTTTCTACCCAAGGACAAAAACTCGTGTTACACCGTGTGATATCTTGGCTTCAGCAGCTACATTCTCTTCTTCCAGCTTTGACAGAATTCAAAATTCTAGAGGCGGCCTCGTTTGGGAAGACATATTTCTCACTCGGCAGCCTCATTCGGACAGACATAATCTCGCCGGTTTATCGTGACACCATTGCTATTTCCATTGCAAATATTCAAATCAACTGCGTTCTTCCACGGAGCCGAATCCTCCACATTCCTTCCCACTGAAGATTGATAGGGCAAAATAATATTTTCCTCTTTCCATGTGGCTTACGGCAAAAACACCGGTTCTCTAACGATCACCGAAGTTAAGCAACGCTCTGCTTGGTTAGTACCTAGATGGGTGACCGATAGGGAATATCAGGTGCTGTAATCTTCGATGTACGGTTTGTACGGTGTACGTCCATATCATATTGAAAGACTAGTTCTCTAACGATCACCGAAGTTAAGCAACGTTGAGACTGGTTAGTACCTAGATGGGTGACCGATTGGGAATATCAGGTGCTGTAATCTTCGATGTACGGTTGGTATGGTGTACGTCCATATCACGTTGAAATTCCAGTTCTCTTACGATCACCGAAGTTAAGCAACGTTCTGCTTGGTTAGTACCTAGATGGGTGACCGATTGGGAATATCTGGTGCTGTAATCTTCGATGTACGGTTGGTATGGTTTACGTCCATATCACGTTGAAATTCCAGTTCTCTTACGATCACCGAAGTTAAGCAACGTTCTGCTTGGTTAGTACCTAGATGGGTGACCGATTTGGAATATAAGATGCTGTAAGCGTGGATGTACGGTTGGTATAGTTTACGGCCATGTCATTTTGAAAGACCGGTTCTCGTACGATCATTGAAGTTAAGCAACGTTGAGACTGGTTAGTACCTAGATGGGGGACCGATTTGGAATATAAGATGCTGTAAGGTTGGTATGGTTTACGGCCATGTGATGTTGAAAGACCTGTTCTCGTATGATCACCAAAGTTAAGCAACATTGAGCCTGGTCAGTACCTAGATAGGTGACGGCTTGGAAATATCCGGGGCTGTAAGCTTGGATGTGCGTGTGGTGTAATTGATAGAGACCGGGAGCTGGTTATCGGAGTGCGGAGTTCCAATTCTAGTTGGGTTCGTTGTATTCCCTTACAATGAAATTGCGTAAACAAAACTGTTCCCAAACTTTTAATGATTAGGCAAGTACAGATCTTTGCAACTCGGATATATCATGCTTATTCCATGGAGTTGATTCATCCACATTTCCTCCGTATTCCAGTTGAAAAGAGTATTTCCTTCTTCGGCATCTTCCCCACCCCAAACAAATAAGAGTAGATAGGTTCGCCTATTGTCCGGTTCACACTCCTCCCCGGATTTTTGGCGCATGAGTAGAGGTTTATCTTTGTTCCTTGTTCAGGACTGATTTTTCCGGTTTTTTAAAAAGTCTTTTTGTTTTCTTTCATCCCCAATAGTCTCTTGCGTCGTAGTGGCATTATCGCCTTAATTGGAATGAAATGATTAAAAAAACGCAACTGCGACATTGTGGCACAAATACTTGCGTGTATAGTTTACTGAACTTTACAGTCAATCGTTATCTATCCTCCCTATCCTCATAGCCTTCACTTTCTATTACCTCATCTTGCATTTATATACCATACTTCATTCAGTATAAATCTACCTTGAGTGACTCTCGAGCTTTTTATTGGGGTATACTTAATATTACCTATATCTCTAAGATGAGGTATTATGATTCTTATATTTTATGTGCCATGTCCTTTCAGGAGGTAAGCGATCATGGCTCTCCACCTCCTTCTCTCCACTGCAGCTCTCAAATTCCTTTATCTCTGCTACCTCCCGAGACCACGTTCTGTCATCCATTTGCTTTTAAGCCTTGTAGGTATGTCATGCGTTGTTTTTTCTTGTCTCTCTTTCCCTCTATTCGACCTGTGAGTATCAGATTCTCCAGGCCCTCATCCCACATTATGTACCCGAGGAACATCAGCTGCCTCTTCCTGATATTAAGTATGAGCCTCCTCCTTGTTTGCATCCTCTCAAAGACTCCATCGTTGCTCACACGCTCGGTCCATGATATCCTGAACATCCTTCTGTAGAACCATATCTCCGTCGCCTCGAGTTTCTTCTTTATCTTTGAGGAGATCGTCCAACTCTCGCCGTAAAGAAGGACAGATGTCACGTAATAGCTCAGTATTTTTTTCTTTGTCACCATAGAAATCCTCGAGTCTCGCAACTTTTAAAATTTCGCGTCTGCTTGATAATAATGTCCCCGACCTGCAAATCGCATTTTGGGCTCATTCTTTTACTGATGACCATGCATTCTATCTTCTTGTAGTTTATGCTTAGTCCTTTCTTCTCACTCTCTGTCGCTCCCTTCTGTAGGAGATTTTTTTAATTTCTTTTCCCTGTCTGCTATCAGTACTGTGTCGTTTGCATATCTTATGTTGTTAAGATTGTGTCCGCCAATTCTAAATCCCGGTAGTGTTCCCAATTCTCACAGAATTGCCTCGTTGTATAGGTTGAAAAGGTCCGGCGAGAAGACGCATCCTTGCCTTACACCTTTTTCTATTTTTGTATATTCGCTGAACTCCTATGCGCATGCATGCTGTTTGCTGCCAGTATAGGTTCTTGGTTATTCTGATATCTTTCCCGAATATATCTAGATTGCTGAGCAGTTCCAGCAGATCCTTGTGAGGTACTTTGTCGAAAGTCTTCGCGTAGTAAAACCGGAACGTATAACGTCCGAAACGTTGTGAATATCTCAATGAAGATGGCATTCTGAATAATGTAAATAATGCAAGTAATCATAATACCATATCTTTGAGATGAGGTGGTATGATTACTTGCATTATTCACATTATTCGGACTGTCATCCTCATCTTCACTGACATATTCACAACGTTTCGGTCGGGTGATTGGAATTTTGAACCACATTGCCCAGTGGATAAAGACGTCGGTTAGATCCAGTGACTAGATCCAAAGAGTTGTGAGTTCAATATCAGGCCACAGCATTGGTGAACCAAAAGCTTGCAGAGTTGAGTTAAAGAGAAATAACAGATATCCGGAAGGGGCATGGCACGTGGAACCAGAACAATCCACTCCGGTGGACAAAATAAAGGGTTCGATTCGAAATTCCAATCACCTGAAGAAGGCCGGAGCGTACAACGCCGAAACGTTGCAAATATGTCACTAATGATGAGGATAACAGTCAGAATAATGTAAATAATGCAAGTATACTTAAAATTGTTATCAATTTATATTAATAAGAGATCTGATTTAACACAGACACACACACACACACACACACACACACACACACACACACACACACACACACACACACACACATATATATATATATATATATATATATATATATATATATATATATATATATATGTATATAAATAAAAAAGAAAGAACAGTAAGATATATAATCCGGTGTTCTTATAGATATTTTTATTTTTACAAAATAGTGCTCGATGTAAATTTACAGAGCATTAATATTATAAATTAATTGATTTAAAATAAGCGAAAAAAATCCATATTTTAAATCAATTAATTTATATATATATATATATATATATATATATATATATATATATATATATATATATATGCAGCAACCTAAATTCAATTAAATCGTCGTGCATTTTTTGCCTTTTCTGCAATCAATCTGTTCCCTGCATTTTGAAATCTACTCTCCCAACATTTTGTCTTCTTTTTCTTACTGGTTATGTATATATTTTTTTTAAATGTCTATTTCAGCGTTTCTATGTCTTGGAGTTTAACAATCTATTCGTATCATTGCTGGACACATTGAGCGTTGTTTTAGAAAGGAAGGATAAAAAAAAAAAAAAAAAACCCAAAAAATAAAAATAACTAACTGTTTCAGATCGGTATCGCTTAGAAAACGGTTGGGCTTTACTTAATTAGTTCGGATAGCGTGAATAGATAGCGAGTAACGAAAATAAAATGAAATAGCATAAACAAAAAAAGAGTTTCAAAATGTCTGAAAAGACGATGGCAAAAGAAAGGGAAGGAAAAAAAACTGGAACTGAAAATTGAATGAAGGAATTTGGAAGAAAATAGAAAGGGAAAAAAAATCAACGCCGTTAAGAATGATGAATGGAAAGTGAATGAAAGAAAGATGGAAAGGAGAAAAGGTCAGAGAAATTGAGAATAAGGAAGAAGAAAAAGAAATCAGTGCAGAGATAAGCGGACATTACACAGATTTTTAAATCATTTTCTTACTCATGTTCGTCCAATAAAAAAAGAATATATCACGTTGGCCAGAAAGTCCTGACTCAGGAAGCGGAAAGAAAACAATTATTATGTACCCTTGAAATTTCATTTGTCGCCCCTTCTTCTTCTTCTTCTTCTTCTTCTTCTTCTTCTTCTTCTTCTTTCCCCTCCTCCTTCTTCTTGTTTTTCTTTCTCCTCTTTCTCTTCCTCTTCTTCATTCTTCTCTTCCCCCACTACTTCTTCTTTTTTTTCTTCTTCTTCCAGTTTATCTTTTCTTCTTCTTCTTCTTCTTCTTCTTCCAGTTTATCTTTTCTTCTTCTTCTTCTTCTTCTTCTTCTTCTTCATCTTCTTCTTCTTCTTCTTCTTCTTCTTCTTCTTCTTCTTCTTCTTCTTCTTCTTCTTCTTCTTCTCTCTCTTTCTCTTCCTCTTCTTTATTTTCCTCCTCCTCTTCTTCTACTTCTTCATCTTCTTTCTCTTCCTCCTTCTTCCTCGTCTCCTTCTCCCTCCTTTTCTTCTTCATCTTTTTTCTTCTTCTTCTTCTTCTACTTTTCCCCACCTCCTTCTTTCTCTTCTTCCTCCCCCTCTTCTTCCTCTTCTCCTAGTTTTTCTTTCTCCTCTTTCAATTCTTCTTCTTCTTCTTCTTCGTCTTTCTGTTCTTTTTCCAATTCATCTTTTTTTTCTTCTTCTTCTTCTTCGTTCTTCTACTTTCTCCTCCTCTTCCTTTCTCGTCTTCCTCCCCTCTTCTTCCTCCCACTCTTCTTCCTATTCTTCTTGTTTTTCTTAACTCCTCTTTTTCTTCTTCATTCACCTCCACCTCCTCCTCCACTTCTTCTTCTTCTTCTTTTTCTTCTTCTTCTTCTTCTTCTTCTTCTTCGTTGTGTCTTGTCTCTTCTTCAATACGTTGTCGATCATAGATCCCAAGAATTACTTCTCCATTGTAGTTCTCAATAAATTTTGTCTTTTTGTTATCTTCTACCATCCTCTACCAGTTACTGAAGCTAGATAGGTTATCTGTCCCTTGCATTCCGTCGTTCCTGTGAGTATCAAACTTTCAAAGCTCTCTTTCCTCATTATGTAACCATGAAATTTCAAATGTATTTTCCTGATGTTAAATATAAGTGTGCATTTTGTTCCCATTTTCTCTAAAACTACTTCGTTGCGCAACACGTTTGATTCATTGTCTTTTCAGGATCCTTTTGTAAAAATACATTTCTATTGTGTGGAGATTGTCAAGCGCTTAAACTGTCATATAAGGGGACTGATATTACGTAACATCTCAGCACTCTTTTCTTTGTTTCTAAAGAAATATTCGCCTTTCTTTATAATTTCGGTGTCGTATTTTTTCCCATTCTCTGTTAAAACACATCCGAAATATTTAAATTGTTGTACCTATTTGGTTTTGGCATTTTTTTTCCCCAAAGACTATCTGCAAACTGTAGATCCTTTCAGTAAGCCTTTTAGATCCTCACCGACATTTTAAATATTTTCCATTTGATCTTTTGTCGCTAAAACTTGTCTTTGGCTTTTCATATGTTGAAATTTTCCAAGCGTAGCTAAGATGTGGAACAAGGCCGAAAGTATGGGGCACCCAGTGAGGATCGAAATTACTACTCAGTCGTAATTTTTCTAGCAAGACAAGCCCTTGGCTTCTCATTTGTAATTCGATAAGGTGACACGGTTCTCACCATTGGCTGCTCTACATTCTGGAGCAAGAATTGGCCAATTTCTCCGTAAAAGGATTAAAAGTGAATGATATATATATATATATATATATATATATATATGCTCCTGAAAAATTT